AGATAACTGATACATATAAATAGACATATATATATATATATATTTTAAATAAATACATATTATACATAGAAAACACCCAGACCGATACAAACAATACTCATGAATACAAATGTTTGTGCCGTGCGAGGAATCGAACCCGCGACCATCGGTCGTAAAGCGGTGTGCTAGACCGATAGACCACCGAGGTCGTCAAGTAGAATATAGAATATAGAAATAGATAATAGAAACATAGCTAGGAAAGAAAGCTGCTTAGCGGCTGAAATAGGCGAGGCGAGGGATACTTGGATGCAAGCAAATGATTTTAACAAAATTTAAAAATTTCAATTCATTATTAATGTTACTTTCAACTATTTAAATAATTTATATTTATTTTTTACACTACAGTTCGACTTATTTATTAATGTATACAAATACAGAAATTCGTTTAATACAATTTACAATAAATATACAATATTTTCATTACATATTTTATTAATTATCTACTCTCTAAATATTTAACGTACATTTTCTGTACTTAGCGATTCAATAATTCAACTGTTCTTAATTAAATACAGACATTATACAAAGTTTCAATTGAATTATTATATATATTATAATAATTTTCGTCTTATTTAGTTAAAAAGAATCATTTCAAAGTAACAACTCATCGTATCTGTAAGTATAAGTGGCAGTGGGCTGGTCATATCTATCGCAGAACCGATGCTAGCTGAAGTAGACGTGTTCTAGAGTGGAGACCGCGAATTGGCAAACGTAGTGTAGAACGCCCTGCAGCTAGGTGGAGCAATGACGTGGGTTGCGGGTAGTAACTGGATGAAGACAACCGATACAATATTGAAACCTTCAAGAAAAGAGCTTATTCCTTTTTAAAAGGCCGACAACGTACTTGTAATTTCCCTGGTGTTGCGGGTGCTCATGGGCGGCGGTAATCACTTACCATCAGGTGGGCCGCATGCTCGTTTGTCCCCTGTGTTATAAAAAAAAACCATGCTCAGTGGCGTGCCTTGGGAGAGATCTAAGTCCAGCAGTGGACAGCAGTGGGCTGATGATGATGAGTGACAATACTTGACACATTTTACAGGGTACGTTGCTACCTATTGATCGTTTTTCCTATTAATCCCAATGGTAATTGAAATTACTTCGAACCAAGGTTAAAACTCCTAGCGGTACCCTTAAACCAAAGACATATTATTATACCAAGGAGCAGGATATTGTCGACTATATACGAGCTAGGACGAGGGTGAGGTTGAGGGTGACGCAGCTGGAGTCAACGCGAGTTTCAAGGCGTTTATCGCCCGGGTCCCCACCAACATGCTGCCCACCTTCATGAAGGAGGACTACTGGCCGAAGGATATGGTGTATTGGCGCTACCGTGACAGATTGTCCTCGTCAGTGCCCCAATGACCACAGAATCAATTTCAATATATTAGTATTATAGTACTAATTAATGTGTATGTTATTCTATAGGGTATATGTAATATGGGCCTAGTATCATGAAATAAATAAATAAATAAAAATATATCCATCAGATAAAAGTTTACCTTCAGCTGACCCCTAAATCGTTCCCTAGATCAGCCCTCATTTTCAATAAAGACTGGTTACAACAGTATTATAATAGAAAATTCTAGATATTTATTTATTTAATAAAACTTTAAAACACAAATAAATTGCAATTTGGTAGAGACGAGCCAATTACCGTCCCTGAGATTTTCTTTATAAATTTATTACAGAAGAGATTATTAGTAATGGACTGATGACCCCATTGCTACGAGGAGCTTTGTACCATGTTGGTTTGATCGCCAACTTCCCATGGAACTATCCAGGAATTTCTTGATATGAAATTTGTCATATTGGCATAGCTAATCAGACCTCATGTTCATCTTATCACTCTGACTGGAGTGCCACCAGCAGGCTTAAACCATTAGCGCAGGCGGGTGTATCATTCCATTATAATACATTAATATATATATATATAGTTTGACGCGTATATTTTTTTTAAATAAACATAAACAGACGTCTTACATAAGTAACAACGATATGGATCTATTTAATCTTATATAAAGGAGACTGTACTTAATTTATTTAGGGGATTTGTACGCTGAGAGTGTTCATGTGTTCAGGATTACGTATACTTAATGCGGGGCATGTTAATAGCCCAGCAACGACGCAGTCTTCATATAAATGCGGTTTCCCTTCGCTCTAGAAATAATTATTCATTTAGTTTGTTATACCAGCAAAAATGTCTAAATAAACAACCCACCACATAAAACACAACGCCAGTTAGTCCCGAAGTAAGTACTTGTACTATGGCCACTAAATTATATTAAATTTATTTATTTATTTTATTGTTCAAATAAATTTTAAAACATGAGATGTAAGGGCCCTCCCCTTACATCTCGTGTTTTTAAATTTGGCGATACGTGTCACAGTTTCTGCGAATACCTAGTACGAGTATCAATTCTTTACAAATTTGTAGTTTAGCATTAAATTTACGTGCTCTGTTACACTGTAAATCATTTCAATGTATTGTGGAGAAAACAAACTCCTTAAATACTGGTGTGATGTAAACGAATTGGGTAGCAATTAAAAGTTAACAATTTAACATTTCAAATGATACCATTTTTATTATTCTTAACTAGTTATTAAGTACTCGAGATCGCGCAGAATCAATTCCAAGTAAGTGATTCCATACTTTTGCTCGCGAGTGTAGTTACTATTATAATTAGAAAATAAAAGAAATAATCTTTATTCAAATATACTTAATATTATATGTATATGCATTTTTGAATTGTCACATTCTTTTCTTATACGAATCATTAGGAAAGCAGACTCAGCACAAGAAGAAAAGAAAGAATGTAGGTACATTGCCTGTTGCTCTTTCAAAATGTTGTTCAATTAATTTTTTTAAGATTTTGCGTGAATACCAATTTCTAAACTAGAAAATTCACAAGAGTAAATAAATAATTACTTTATTTACAAAATTAATCAATCATAGTGAACAGAGCAGATATGTCCCAATTAATTTAAATCTCCTTTGATGTCAGCTTAATGATAATTATTGCTTATTTCCAATAAGTATCCAATTATTTATAAGTACTTACAATGCTCCACAAAAATGCAACGAGCAAAGTTTTTCAAGTATTCTCATGTTTCAAAAGATTCCACTGCACATAACTTTAAATCGCACAAAAGTTATAGTTAGGGTCTTTGAAAGTTCTGTCAGGAGTAGATAGTTATTGCAAGATATAAAAATAAATTATTACATACTTTTCTCAATTAATATTTTATTTATTATATCGTTACTGTGTCCAAATAACTGTATATTTTTTTAAGTTACTGATATAGCAAATAAACTGATAGAAAGTGTGGTCTCCAGACATGAACGCATAGCATCTACCGTCAGGGCAGAAGTGTGTTGTTAGTAATTAGGCTGGGGGGAATTACATACTAAATCACGTAGAAAGGGATTGTTGGTAATGGGAACTAATAACCCCATTCAGGTTGAACTTCACATGGTTTCACCTGGAAAACATCCTGATAAATTCCTGGTGAATTTGTCACGATGGGCTAACTGTCCTGACCAAAATGCAAATTCGAAAAGCTTTTAGAGTTAATTTGAATTTACATTACACTTTTTTACATTTACAACAATTCATCTACTACTATTTTACAACTTTACTATTACTTTAAATGTACAATTTTTTAGATTTCATTTTTATTTATTTGTATATATAAGTTGTTATAATGCAATAGTAAAAACACCAGTAACTATACGTAAAATTTAATAATCCAATATAAAGAACGCCACATTTTTTTATCGATATACAGATTGTTTCTACGCAGAGTTTAAAAGCAATTACCTGATTTGTGTTTTAGTTCTACCTATAAAAACAATTTTACCCAAATCTGATTAATAGAACGTTACATTAACGTGAACTATTCAAGGTTTTCCTGCGATGTAAGGCCGCCCTATGACCCAGTTGGAGTGGGCTGTCCAAATTGCAAATCGATTATGCCACGCGTTGTAGATCAGAATTTCCTACCAACCATTTTGTTCAGCTAATTAGGACTACTTGAGCTATGCTTCATTGTGCGGAAGTATCGCATGAGTGGTTCCTCTAGCGCCAGATGATCTGCTATCCGTGATGCTTTTTTTATGGATGACAATGGTACGATGCACCCGCCTGCGGTTACGGTATACGATAGCAGGATGATAAATCGAGCATGAAGTCAGGTCAGTTAACCCATACTGGCAAATGGTAATTCACCACGATGGTTTCCAGGGGGAACTGCGTGGAGGTCAATCTGACATGGTACTTTGCTAACTATAGGGGTTATTAGTCCACATTACTAACAATCTCTGTTTTAAAATTGTAGTCGCCCAGCTAGAACCTAAAGTCGTCAATAATTTTATCTCGGCCGAAAATTTCTAAAATGGTTAAGATCATACACACCCTCGAAACCGCAGCTGATGCTTTTACTAGGCTTCATAATAAAACTACCATAACCATTATAGAAGTTTTCAACCGGGAGGAAATTGGTCATATTAACCTGTTGCTGGCTCGCAACAATGGTCCATTGTCAGTTACTATCAGGTGGACTGTCAACTCTGTTGGCTATTCGAATTGTATAGAATTCATATCCACGTTGGAACCTAAGTAGTCTGGGACAGTGGGGTTTCAGACCTCCCGTCTACACCTAGATTGTTGAATAAATCTGCCGAGGTCTTCTTGAGAGGTCACAGTATAGGGTTTTTAAAGAATGGGGTATATTAACGTTTCTTAAGGGTCGGCATCGCGCACGTTACACTCCTGGTGTCTCAGGCGTCTATGAGCTACGCTAACCGTTTACCATTAGATATGCCGTACGCTTGTTTGCCACCATCTTAGAATAAAAAAAACAATTGATTTATATGTATAAACTATGCTACTAGGTTAGGTAGATATTAGTTAATCTATGTGTTTCGTGAATACTTTGAAATTAATAAACTTTATTGTTCACAGATTATTTGAGGAGAATGAAGACCTACTGAATATGTTCGAGAAGTTTCGCCAGTACCGGACGAAAGAGGAACAGATTAACTCGATGGAGCTGGCCGAGCATGCCAACAATGTGATGAACACGCTCGACGAGGGCATCAAGGGTCTGGATGACCTGGACAACTTCTTCCAGTATATACACCAAGTGGGGGCCAGTCATAGGAAAATACCGGGGTTCAAAGTGGAATATTTTTGGGTGAGATAATATTTACTTTATTCTTGGATACAGTAAAATTGCAAGGAAAATACAGGGTTCAAAGTGGAATATTTTTGGGAGAGATAGTGATTCCTTTATTCTTAGATATAGTAAAATTGATCATTTTCAAATTTCATCCTTTTACGACCAACCTCTATTTTTTAATAGCGATATTAATTTACATCGCAAAGAATCGTTTGCCGAGACGGCTAATTGTATAAAAAGAACAACTAGTGTACGTTGTACTTATGCTTCCAAGATAAGAAAAATAGTGTTTAAAATTTTCGTTTGTTTGTTTAAGCACGCTAATTTCAGTAACGGCATAACCGTTGATTTCTTTCTATCTTTCTAGAATCTAAATAGTGTTTAGTTAATTTAAATAAACTTAATGCAAGCACTTATAAATATTTTTTGGTATTTCCGGTGCAAAATGCAAAATCTGTACAATAGATCTTTATCGGAGACTGACTCCACTCAAACTGATTGAAATTTTACAGCTTGCTTTGCATCTTTAAAACTGATGTTGAATGCCAGAACTGATAAAATCAAGGCCAATAGTTCAAGGAAACACTCGTTTTATGGTGCTGTAGCAACAGAACTAATATTTACTTCAAAACTTTTGTTGTTTATTAATTTTAGGGCGAATTATTGATAGGGTCCAACAACTTAGTCTTTAATGTGTATCAATTTGTTTTGTTATATTGATGATATTATATATATGGGCGTTGGTTTAGTCATGACTCCATACCCTGTAATTTCGCTGCCATTTCTCAACCTTCAACCGAAACATAGATGCAGCAAAATGCTTCGTGGCTGAGGTTCGTAAAATAGAGGTACTCATCCCATATAAAGTTTATTTAAGTGGTAAACTTTGATACTTATAGTACTGTTCTTTTCACGTTGTCATTATTTATAAAAACTCACGGGATCTTATTACGTTTTATTTATTCTTATTGATTTACCAATATTTCAGATGATCACGGGTTGATCACGGAACTGAATGCGCTTATCTTAACTCATGGCGGTCGAAACACTGCCGAAATATCGAGATCTCAATAAAAATAATAAAACGTGATTTTTCATAATTCACCTATTTCTATCTCCAAGCAGCTTGCTTTCTAAGCTGTGTTTTGTTTCAAGAATAAGGGCTGTTAATTGCTGGAAAAGAGACATGTAACACAGCGGCTCGAGAGACAAGATAACGTGATATCCATGCCGTTCCAATTTTAACTCTATTAAAACTAAAGTTATCATAGTTTATTACGAATTTATTTTTAACTTCATATATCGATAATTTATGGTTGCTCTAACACCATTGTTGTATCTGTAAAACTGATGCTGAATACTTAGAATTTCGAAGGCCAACAGTTCAAGGAAACCATCATTTTATGTTACTATGGCAACACAAATAATATTTGCTTCAAAACTTTGCTCGCCTATTACTTTGGTGATGTATCGTTGTCTTGGACTTTTGATAGATCTGTTATGGAATTATCCCTCAGTGGTATTTATTGCTGTATTCCTTTCCACCCTTCTAGATTTTATCGTTTCTATTTTTGATGCGGTACAATAATATTGCCAGGCCGTAAATCAGGCATCGCTAACATGTTTTTGATCCCTCTTTCCAGGGCCGTCTTAAGTATATTTTCCCCCGAAAGCAGGTCCCAGGGGTTGTAAGTGGGTCGCGCACTCAAATATGACAATAAAATTATGAAGCGGCGTGGTACAAAGTGGGTTACATCCTACATGATACTACATCCGGATTTTTGAGAGAGCATCTCAATTGTGTGTCCCATGCATATCGTTTTCAACGGGACTGTCTCTTTTTATAATTACAAGTCCCGGTGTCCCCAAAATGAACTCTGGAACACAAAATTGTCCCGTTTTCGGAAACTCCGCGAAAATTTGTGTAGTCGAGCAGGCCGGTTGTAATGTTGATTATTGTTGATAATTAAAGTGAATATAAAAAAACGTGCCAAGAGTTTCAGTCTTGCTTAAAAGCGTCACTAGCTATATTGAAGCAAATTTGTTCATCCGATAATACTTGACTTACTTAAAAGCTTTTAATTTTTTCTGAATTAAGAAATTGCTTTTTTACAGCAAATTTTAAAGTAAATAAACCAATGTCCCGTTTGAGTCTAAGAATAAATGGTCACGTTACCCATGCAATGCCTGAGAGGTATACAGGATAGGTTCCTACAGGAACATTAAAAATTAAATTTGTGGCCCCAGTCATCATATAACTTCACTTCTGTTCATTTTCTATTGGATTGTCTCATATTCTACGGGATAGTTTCTTTGATTCCATTTACACAAAGTAGCTCAAGTTTTTTAGCACCAGAAGCTATAAATTTTAGCGTTTTCTGGACTATCAAAAATAAGAGAGTTGAAAGAGAAAATATTACAACTTCTAAAAGTGTACTGTTTTAAATTTGACGCAGTTAATATTTATATGTATAATTAGTAAACATTACGGGATCTTACCATGTTTTATATTTTTATTGAGGTCCGGATATTTCGACGAGTGTTTCGACCGCCATGATCACGAGTGTTTACTCGTATTCGTATTTGTTAAACTAAATAGTTTAACGCGTAATAAATCAAATTCAAATTCAAAATATCTTTATTCATGTAGTTCTATTATAGACTCTTATGATATGTCAAATCTACCGTCAGTTCGGAATGATTTCGAGATGAGAAGAACTGACAAGAAACTCAGCTCGTATTCTTTTAAAATAATAGTTGTGCATGTTTACAATAATCCAGATTCATTTAAATTCAAATTTGGGAGAATAGAGTGACCACTAGCATATGCTATTGCAAAAACAAAAAGTCTAATCAGTGTTCATAACCTGAACAGACCAGTCCTCACAAGCAGCACCTGTTCACGAGTATGACGGATGATAAAAACAAAAACGTGGTAAGATCCCGTGATTTTTACTTCAAAATGTAGTTAAACGCATACCCATAACAACCCTAAAGACGGCCCTGCTTCGTACACATCATAAGGGAAATATTTTATTCATAGAAATGCCACGTGAGGTCCAGCCATCCCTTTCGTGGAAATATTATTCGATAATGATAACATAAACTACCGTAACATGTTAACATCACACGAGCTATAGTTTTCTTTCACATCAAAGGTACGAAACGAACGAATAAGACTTATAATGTTATATAACAATATTATATAACCTTGGTGATCTAGCGGTTTAGCACACCGCCTTACTTTCGATGGTTGCGGGTTCGATTCCTTGTACGGTACAAACATTTCTATTTATGAGTACGATGGTTTGTATCGGTCTGGGTGTTTTCTATGTATAATATGTATCTATTTTCGGAAAATATTGTATTTATTTGTATTAGTTGTCTAATACCAATCACACAAGCTCCAGTTAGCTTAACTTGAGACTAGATGGCGCTGTGTGGATTGCCAAGGATATTATTATTATAAAAATGTCTGAGGTACAAAATTGTCTGCGTGAACATTACTGTCTACCCTAATTTAAAGTGTAGTTTCTGTTAAAGAATATGATGACCTATGGCAGTGAAATTACAGACTATAGTTGCTCAACACCCCTCCGATCGATCCTCCATCCAATTCAAACGGAAATCGAAATTACGACAGCCTGAGCCGAGGTTCGAACCTCTGGCGGTGCCCTCAGACTAAAGTCGTATCCCTCAGGCGGGAGTTGGCCTTCAGCCGCTCTGTAAGTCCTTCCGCGGGTTTTGGGCTGCCTCGCCTCCAATCTTCCGGTAAAGCTGTAAAGGCCAGCTGCAGTCAACAGCATTATAGTGCGAAAAAAAACGATAGTTCTCTGAAATGGTAACCCTTGAGAGGTGAAGTGGTTATATGATGACGTAATCCTAGTGGTCACTTACACGTCGGGTCGTCTCCTTATGTGCCGTTCCGGTTATAAAAAATACACTTTTTAATTACCATTTATTAGGAGTAATTACTTATTAATAAATAATTGTAATCGACTGACCTGTATTGATTCTTACCTCTGTATTCAATACATAACATCTTTCCAGAAAATCGAGAAGCCATTCCTAGCAGCCGTGGAAACGACTCTCGGCGACCGGTACACACCGAACGTGGAGAATATTTACAAAATAACAATAAAATTCATATTAGAAACACTCATAGAAGGCTACGAGAAAGCTGGCAACCCTAATGCAACGTGAGCGATGTAAAATATATAGATCGAGATAAATTATACAACATCTAAACTATCCGAGACTCTGTTAATATAGTTTTGAAGAAACATTACCCTCGACTAACAGTGGTTTTTTGTTAATATAACTGAATTATTCCAACGCTAGTTCTGGATTGGAAGTATAAAGAATTGAATTTAATACTGTCAATTTGATATAGTCAAGAACTATATGTATACAGCTATAGTTATAAACTACATTAATGTGTATAAAAGTGAATAATTTTAACGTTATGTATAGATAAATTATTATTTATTTGCGCGGTAGTTCATAGTGATATAACCTGATTACTTTGAGAATGTATCAGGAGAACTATGTGGATGGTATTACTATTACTAATAAATTTAAAAAAATATTACAATAAAAAAAATAGAATGACGTTGATATCTAGTTTAAAATTGTAAGTCTGTGTCTTATGTATGAAATTTATATTTTTTAATTTAACACAAACGCTTGTTATGATGCCAACTGTTGTTATTTTGTTTATTGTTATTGTAATGCACTAAACCTTTGTAATGAATGTGGATATAGAAGCTAGTGTAACAATTCTGAAAAATGTTAGTTAAATCATTTCGCGTTTAATTTTTAATTGCGTCTTCCGAGTGAATATGGGATTACTTTAAACTTGAGTGTTTTGTTAATTTGTTATTTTAATTCACAATTTAATTTACAATAACAATTTATATTTAGAATACGTAATATATTGGTCACACAAATACGTGGAGCATATATTAATTAGATGTATAGAGAACTCACACAAAAAATATGTATTTTTGAAAACTTTAGGAAAACTTTTTACAAATCTACTTTTTTATGAACTATATAATATTTTTTACAATTTCTCCGTATATCGTACACGCACAATTATTTTTTAATGTTGACTTCTGATCTGTGTAGGTCGATATCAATAGTGATCATCATTTTTCATCATCTTCATCACACAATTGCATAAATCATATTTGTCTTTTAATAGATGTTATATTACAAAAATAATATATAAAAGTATATTCAAATGTAGTCCAAATTTCGTCAAATACAAGATGTTACTGTTACTTACTGACGCCAATTGTTAGCACAAACTATGAAACGCATAATTAAAAATGATATTGTTATTTTTAATTATAAAACTAAGATTATTAATTAGTATAAAAAAATATTTTCTAATTCTGTTAAAATCTTTTCTAATTAATGAATTGCTGATGAATAATTTAATGATTAATTATTTAATGATTGTAAATTTGATCTCTAATTTGCCATCATTAAATAACTAATCATTAAATTGTTAATCATCGCCCTGATATCCGAATTACAAAAATATCCGACACCGATTAAGCTCTGTGATTTGAAATTGATATAATAAAATATAATACAATGGGCTTACAATTCATTATACTTCGGATATCATTTAATTAACCCTTCATTCGAGTATTGTTAGATATTGTTGTTTCAGAACTCAAGAGAGATGTAGTCATTTATGCCAGGTTTGGTCTGAATATTAAAGGATAGATGTCTGAATTTTGTTACATTGTTTATTTTTAATAAAATATAAACACAATTATTTAGCTAGCTAAAGAAACGAGACTGTTCTGAGTGAATTGGGTATGTTTTATTAACAAAATATATTTAATCGTAACTTTATATGATCACCTAAATAATGATGTATTTACTTTGATTTTTCATTAAGTATAGATATTGTAATAGGTTCATATTTATCCAAAAACGCACTATATTTCAATGTAATGTTAAACTATTTAAGATTATTATCTGTGGTTATGCATTTATACTTACATTTTCGTGTATATAATATTTATTGAAATTATATTATTTGCGAAATATTGGTACAGCATACCTACCATTATGAAATATTCTTGGACACTGTAAAAATTATAAAATGTCAGCCAATTTTAATGAACTAATTAAATTAGCAAATGAAGTGATTAAATTTTCAGTACGTTTAAACTATTTATGAGATCTAAGTACTCTAAAATCCTTTTTAGAAAGTTTGTATAAGACATTTTATATTATTTATTTATTTATTTTATGAATATTCTGACTGTCATCACATAATGTTACCTAACAATGAAAACTTTGTTTCAATAACATGAAATTTGTTATTATAATTAAATCAATTTGTAGCCTGAATTATTTGTAAATGTTATTGTAATTCAATTAATTTGTGTAATTATTACAATCGGATTACAGATTATACCAATGTGTTAATGACTTTTTAATTATGTAATGATTGTGAACCTAATTTATATCAATGAAACAAATTCTTTAGTTATGCAATCGAGTGATTATATCGGTCCTTTTAATAAATAATAATATTTTATAATTATATTATAATATCTGAATATAATTAATATTTCGTTTAGAATAAAATCATATCATAAAGCCTGATTTACATTACGAAAGTAGATTTCTGATTTTATTTTCAGATTGTAACACTGGATATAGGTATGTAATATTTATATCTATAATTTGTATTAAGATATCAGTTTTATAGTTTCACAGGTGATATCATCAAATATATGCATAACAGAGCTCTAACTACTTTCAAAGTAAGTAGAGCTCATGCTATGGGTACTAAATAATTAAAAGAAATACTATAATAAAATTAATTATTTAAGTTTGTCGCAAACAAATTAGCAATGAGACTACCTCTTATATCTATTACCGATGTAAATATATTTTATTAGGTATAGTAAAGTAATAGTAATTATTTACAAATAAGTTAGTTTCGTAATGTAAATTCGGCGTTATGTATCTGATGGGTCAGTTAATTCAACAGGAATAAACCACGAAGATTTTGAATTCATTTTTCCTCTGCGTTAATGTTTCTGTATGCTACATATACATATATAGTTACATATAGTAATGAATATGTATGCGGAAACATTTCAAATTGTTAGGTATGTCATACTGATCTGGGCTATAGTATATATACTTTGTGGATGTTTCAATACTATGTATGTACATTTGTTATGTGTACTTAACATTATTCTTCTGTATATATATTTACAATAACCCGACTAAACTCTTTAAATTAATTTTTAAATTTGGAACGGTAAATTCAATTGTAATATAATTTATATTAACTTGTCAAATTATTTTTTAAATTTGGAACTGTAAATTCAATTGTAATATAATTTATATTATCTCGTCAAATTATTTTTAAATATGGAATTTCAAATTCGATTGTAATTAAAATTTGTATTCTGATTTTAAATTTGAATTATAAATTATTGTAATTTACAATGTCCTAACCCCGGTTCACATAGAGAACGTTGCACCTAAACAAACCTGTACCTTAATTTACATATATAAATTAATGAAAATTATTATATATTACGTATGTATAAATTTACGTGAGTGCATAGGTGTGAGTATATATATTCACTGTGTTTATAAAATCGATTTAAGCGATGAATGTGTTGTAAATGTCGTTAAGATCAGTGTAATAAAGTGTTATGATGGTTTTAAAAATAAATATTATTTAAATTTATATCACTCTGTTTTATTATCACAAGAGATAATGACCAGGGACTCGCAGCTAGCGTCACAGGATACAAGTAGTATATAATATAGTAGTTGTATCCTGCGACGCTACTCGGGTCATTATGACCCATGTTACTAATGATGATAATAGAAGTAGATGATGTACACAGTGAATGGGCGTATGATTTTCTACTCTAATTGATGTATCAAAGATAATAGAACGTTAAATGCTATAATATCCTATCAATTATAATCTGTACTTATATTATAAATGTGAGTGTGTTTGTCAGTGTGTCTATCTGTCTTTCTTTTCTTTTTTTTCTCACATTGGAGTATCAAAGACAATAGAATGTGAAATCCTATAATAACATATGCATTCTAATCCGTACTAATATTACAAATGCGACTATTTGTCAGTCTGTCTGTATGTCTTTTCTAATTATTTTTTCATTGTTGAACGTATCTTAAGGAAAGGCATTAAAATAGCTTATATCCCTGAGGACGGACGTAGGGAATTTTTTCTCTAATTGGAATAAATCAAATAAAGCCGAAACAATAGAACATCAAATCCACATCATATACATGTATATCTTATTTGTACTAATACATACTAAAAATATAAATACGAAAGTTCGTCTGTCCATCTGTTTGTTATATTTTCATTGTTGAACTTGTCTTAATGAAATAGAGCTTGAAAATATATGTGGATATTATTCTGGGGACTAAAATAGACTATCTTTTATCTCAAAAAAACAGCTAAGTCGCAGAAAACAGCCAATATATCATAAAGTATTATTCTCTATTAAATTGTAATCAATATTAAGAACATACTCAAGAGTAGATCTACATTTATTCAATTTATATAATTCAATTTATACTCTACAGGTCTTGCAGACCTACCAGTATTGAATTCTAATCAATATTAAGAATATACTCAAGAGTAAATCTGCAGACCTGTAGAGTATAAATTAAATTGTAATCAATATTAAGAATATACTCAAGAGTATATTTGCAGACCTGTAGAGTATAAATTAAATTGTAATCAATATTAAGAATATACTCAAGAGTAAATCTGCAGATCTGTAGAGTATAATTGCATTAAATGCATTTGTTGGTACTCATTAGTGTTGTACCACAGTAATTAAGACCACAAATTCAGGCCGCATATTTTGAACAATTCTAGATAAGATCTTCTACTAAATGTTAAATACTACATTATTTCTTAGACGTTAAGAATGAGAGTTGAACGACAATGACGTTTAATGACGTGGTTAAACCATAATTTCGAAAAAGGCAACGTTATTATCATACAATTGCAAGCGCGTCATAAAATTGTATGACACTCTCTCTCTATATGGTTACTAGTGATGGGCAATGGATAGGAATTAAAAAAATAATATCTTAATTAATATATTTTTTAATACCTACACATATACTTGTACTGTTAATTTTTGTAAGTATTTCTGGGTATTGTAACATTTGCTAATATTTTTAAAATAATGATATAGAATTTAATTGAATATGTTTGTACGTATAATTAGTAAAAATCACGGGATCTTACCACTTTTTAAATTTATTTTCAATTTACCTGTGATCATGATGGTTGAAACACTGCCGAAATATCGGGAACTCAGCAAATAAATATAAAACGTGGTAAGATCCCGTGATTTTTACTAATTATACATATAAATAATGACCGCGTCAAGTTTAAAACTGAATATTTTTGGCCTAATACTTACTTCCTGCCTTTACTTACACCAAAAAGGTACGTGATTTTAAATCATCAAAGAATAAAATGTGTGTCAATTTATATTTCTGACTTGCTCTCCAATGATGGATACACCGATAACTAACGACAGTAATCTAATTTGGGTTGTTATCCGGTACCCCATCTGGGATTAGGTTTGGGACGGTATATCGAATCGAATGTATCTGCTTCTGACTATGTTTTTATCTTTCTCTATATAATTGTTTCGACTTCACCTATAAGTATTGTTTAGAGTGATCAGGATGTAGTGGCCACAGCATCTTGCCTTCCTGCTGTATGTAGTAAATTTATTAAATTTGTTAGTAGCTAATTTCACTAAACGTAATGAGTTCACTTAAATACCAGTAGTTGATTATATGAATATAAGTTTTAATAATCATTAATATTTAAGTTGAAAATAGAAGAGAAATAAATGTCGCATTGGTAAAGACATGTCCATAGCTTTTAGATCTATTAGCAGCTTTCCAATAATTTAAACATCACGCCTACCAAAGCACACATGAATCTGTACAATTCACAAGATATTAAGGTCTTAATTTTAACAAAGAGCGACGTAACAGTTCGCTGTGACAATAATATGTGACAATATTGAAGTCACTTCACAGGTAACAGTTAAATATTTCACGTCACTACCGACTTTATTTCTTCGAGCGAATAGATTCAGTCATAGAGAGTGCGCTGGTCATATTACTAGTCTAATTTAGGTTTAATAAATATAATGGAAAATAACTATAACGCAGTTGCATTAAAAATTTAATGACAATACCGATTAAGTATCTGTTGCTGTAAATTAAAAATACGTTAATAATCGTATCGTTTTTCCAATTAACGGAAAGAAAAATGTTGATATTTTACTAGTGCATTGCAAGCATCAAACTCGGCCGCAGTTATTCCACATTATAAAACTCGTTGAGAGACTAACTCTCGGGCGCGTAAAACAAAAATATCTTATATTAGAATAGACAATTTATTGGATCAAACATCAGTGATCGATTTTGCAAGCCAGGCAGTGAACGTTACAACTATTTGATGTGAATAAAAGTGAATATCATTTTACAACAGTTGTTGAATGCATTTTGGGTATTATACAATAATATATAAAGATGGGATGTGAGTTAACTAAATTAGCAGCGTCGGAGATCAACCATGATGCAATTGATCGACCACCGCCACCGTCCGATCCACGGTCGCCGTTGACGGCGAAACAACAGTACTGCATGCTGGCGTCTTGGAAAGGAATCTTTAGACAGATCGAGAAGACGGGAATTATATTATTCGTGAAGTAAGTATCAGCAATTTATATATAAATTCATTTTTTTTATGTAATAGAAACGACATTTAAGTTTTGACGACCTCGGTGGTCTAGCGGTCTAGCACACCGCTTTACGTCCGATGGTCGCGGGTTCGATTCCTCGCACGGCACAAACATTTGTATTCATGAGTATAATTGTTTGTATTGGTCTGGGTGTTTTCTCTTGTATAATATGTATGTATTTACAAAAAAAAAAATATTTATGTATCTGTATCGGTTGTCTAGTACCCATAACGCAAGCTTTAGCTAGCTTAACTTGGGACTAGATGGCGCTGTGTGAATTGTCCTGAGAGATAGAAAAGGAGCAAAAACAACACTGCACATTGTAATGCTAACATTATTCTCACATTACCATTTTGCAGCACTAAGATATCATGCCTCTGTACCATGTATTTTCACTGCCACTAGTGAAAATACACGTGACAAAGCGACAAACACAACTGACGAAATCAGCTCTTTGACTTCAGAAATAGGTGACATAGAGGGACAAATGAAAAATATTGCATAAAGTTTAACTCGCTAAATAAAATTGAACTAGAAAACTACATCTTCATGAACATAGCAACGTATTAACTTCCAATCAATGTTGACGGATCTCTTTTAAGATTTTCAACCATAAAGCACTTAGCCTGAGACGAATAATTAAAAAAATCTGATAAAATTTATTTATTTATTCTTTATTGCGTCAAATATATATCAAGAATCATCATTGACAGAGTAAGAGGGTACAAGAGCAAGTCTTATCGCTCATGCAATCTCTTTATAAACAAAAAGCTAGGTAGCGCTAGAATAGAATAGAAATAGAAAATAATAATAATAATGGCAATAACAGAAAGATCTATGCTAAAGAGCAATATCCATTACATAGGTATAACAATATACACATACATACATACATACCTATAACAGTATAATGACTAAAATCTATACTATATATACCATACCATGCCATACAATATAATGTAGTAAGTATGTATTTGTATGGGGATCCGCGTATACTTCGCACCCGTGATCTCTTGCATCTTTCATCCCCTATTTCGCCCCTTTTCAGATCATACTCGTGATAAAAGATATCCGAACTCAGATACAACCTATCGACATATCAAATTTCAGTATGATGCATTAGCCGTTTACTTATATATATAAATAATATAATTTAATAAAACTCTGGATAATTAATACAGCCCCATCTAGTCCCATGGTAAGCAGAGATTGTGTTATGGGTACTAGACAACTGAAACATAGGTTTCTTTTATAAATATGTACATAATATACATAGAAAACACCCAGAGCGATACAAACAATCATATTTATGAATAAAAATGTTTGCACCGTGCGAGGAATTAAACCCACGACCATTGGAAGGAAATCGTTAATTACTGTTTGTTATATATATAGATAACAAATTAATTTTTTTTTTTGTTTTTTTTTTATTGTATATTTACCATGTCATTATTAATGTAATTAATAAATAAATATGTAGAAGAAAAAAATAAATATATAATTATATTTAATTTATTAAAACCAAAACGCCTTCTCTATCGCCTATCTCTGTACTCACTAAGGTTGGCTGGTAAAGATTAATATTCGAATTAAGTCCGCCATATATTGTACTAAATTCAATAAAGTTTTAAATAAATAAATAAATATACACAGACATTTTGTATATGGAATATGAATATCATTACATAATATAAAACAAAGTCGCTGTCGCTGTCTGTCCGTCTCTATGTATGTTTAAATCTTTAATTTTGAAGCGGATTTTTTAATAGATAGAGTGATTCTAGAGGAAAGTTTATATATATAATACATGTACACCCGGGCGAAGCCGGGGCGAGTAACTAGTAGATAATAACATATATAAAAACAATTAGAGATCACCTTTATACATTATCCAAGACGGTAAAGCCAATAAATCGTTAGAAAACATAAAAGCCAAACTCACTTAGTGTAAAATCTGTTTATTTGATTAAGGAAAATTTACACCCCATAAAGTTTTACTGTTTCGAGTCGAGCAGAGGAACAGAAAACAGCAATAACAATTCAGTTTTACTTTGAATATTGTACTTTAAAATTAACATTTCTGCCACATAGCAATAAATTATATCTGATGGATTCATTTGGTTGATTTAAGTAAATCCAATGACAAAAGTTGACTGACTATTTCATGGTATGTGGGAGACGTCGCCCACATCCAACAATCAACTAATCACCACCTATATTAACTGTTCTTGTATGATAATACCAGCATTATAGTAATAATAATAATAATCTCAGTACAATTCACACAGCGCCATCTAGACCCAAGTTAATCTAGCTAATACTTGTGTTATGGGTACTAGACAACTGATACCAATACGTATGTATATATTTTCGTAAATACATATTATACATAGAAAATACCCAGACCGATACAAACAATCATATTCACGAATACAAATGTTTGTACCGTGCGAGGAATCGACCGCGCGACCATCGGAAGTAAGAAGGTGTGATAAACCCCAGACCACCGACGCCGTCGAGCAGTTTCTTTGTATAGAAGAAGATAAGATTAAGATTAGTGTTGCGGGTGAATGATACGATGTTGTTGGTCGAGACGATGTATATTACAGATGATAATACACTGACAATATGTACATAGAAATAATGATCTTATATACTAAATGACAATAGGAAAATGTAAGGTGGGGAGACACAGTTTAGACACAGCAGTGCTTAGTAGACAATATTGAATTTGTCTGACTAGACATTATTAAATGCAATTATTATTTTGATCTAGGTGACTGTGTCCCATAGATAAGATAATAAGATACGCTGGGATTGCCATGTGATAAAAGTTCACAAATAAATCTAATTAAAAAAACTAATCGCCCCTATGCTCACAATAGTTCGCAATGCTAAAAGTCTACAACATTTAGTGTTAGTCCAAACCTCAATAAAAATAAATTTCCTCGCTGTTATCAACTGAAAATCAGCGCTGAAAACTACGTATCCAGTATAATCGTGGTAATGCTGAGCTGTGGCCCACATTGACTCTGTTTTGTAATGTGTGTAGATTGTTATTTGTATTTTATTATCTTATTATTGTTGTGTCAAGACGATTCAATAAGATTCTATTCTATAGAAGATAAGTTCATGAAAGAAGAAGTCATGTTTCCGTTCCTTGTAATTTTACTGTCAGTATGTTAACCTTAAAACCAAGATACACTTGCAAAACGAGCTTGACTGCGGGAATAGGAAATATACTTTTTAAAAAAAACTTCGGTTGCAAATATCTTTTTTTTTTTATGTAATTAAATATTTTACGGGCCTTGTTTGGCTGAAAGAAAATATATCAATATAAAAAGTGTTATAACATTCCAATACTTATTACCCGTTTCCACGTCGCATCTGTGCGGAAACGAGATGGGAGATACGAAAGGAATTCCGCGGGAGCAAGACGGGAATTCCTGTGATTTATTGGGTAACTCGTAGTGTTGCCATCTATTGGTTAGCTAAATCCCGGAGAAAAACAATTAATTTTCTACTTTTAACATATATTAATATATCATGTTGAACTTAAAAAGTTACAAATGTTACCCACTTCTTAAGTTCCAGTAGAATTTTGTTTACCATGATTTTCCCCCCAAGATGGGAAATTTCATTTTGACAGTTCAATTCCGGGACGCTCGGCACTACGGGGGATTTGGAAACCCTAGCGACGCGTCACCTGAACAAACCGGCTGTTGATTGAAGCGGAAACCGTTATGAACGAAACGTTCATCATTGAAAATATAGGATGTGAACGATTTTTAAATAGTTACAAATGTTGCCCACTTTCTAAGTTCCCGTACAATTTTGTTTACCATATTTTTCCCCCGAATATAGGAGATTTCACTTTGACAGTTCAATTTCGGGACGCTCGGCAATGCGAGGGATTTGGAAACCCTAGCGACGCGTCACCTGAACAAACCGGCTGTTGATTGAAGCGGAAACCGTTATGAACGAAACGTTCATCATTGAAAATATAGGATGTGAACGATTTTTAAATAGTTACAAATGTTGCCCACTTTCTAAGTTCCCGTACAATTTTGTTTACCATATTTTTCCCCCGAATATAGGAGATTTCACTTTGACAGTTCAATTTCGGGACGCTCGGCAATGCGAGGGATTTGGAAACCCTAGCGACGCGTCACCTGAACAAACCGGCTGTTGATTGAAGCGGAAACCGTTATGAACGAAACGTTCATCATTGAAAATATAGGATGTGAACGATTTTTAAATAGTTACAAATGTTGCCCACTTTCTAAGTTCCCGTACAATTTTGTTTACCATATTTTTCCCCCGAAGATGGGAGATTTCACTTTGACACTTCAATTTCGGGACGCTCGGCACTACAAGGGATTTGGAAACCCTAGCGACGCGTCACCTGAACAAACCGGCTGTTGATTGAAGCGGAAACCGTTATGAACGAAACGTTCATCATTGAAAATATAGGATGTGAACGATTCTTAAAACGTTACACGGATACATCCCAATGCGCGGCGCTCGTTAGCTATCGGTTGTCAAAGTCATAGCAGTCTTTGGGTTCCGTAAATAACGGACAAAAACCTTTTTTTTAATAGATAATAGTGGAATGGTGCACATGTTTGCACTAGTGCTGTTACTCTTTGCGGGAATTGACCTGACATCTGATATTATTATTTATAATGTAATTTAATTGTAAAAGTAATTGTTATGAATTGTAATTTGCATGCCCACTAAATATAACGCGAACATTTGTAGTATTGTTGTAAATGTTGAAGCAAATAAATTATCTATCTATCTATCTAACGGTTTAGGCTGGTTTACCAGTAGAATATGATAATATGAAACCTTTCTCTAGTGGATGATAATGGAATGGTGCCTCCATCTTTGCTATCAGTTTACGCTGGCACCAGTGGAGGATGATAAGATGAACATGAGGTCAGTGTTCTAATATTCAGCGCATT